TAATATCTCAACAGAATTGTCATAACATGTTGTAAGAGTATTGTGAATTAAATATGATTAAATTTGAATATTTTGTCGTGGAAGGATTTATAAATCCACAATCAAGCAAATTGATAAGTCTAAATATGTGATTTGTCATTCTAGTACAACTTACACATAAACAACAAGGTTTATAATGAGAATTTACAATTGTTCAAGGCGAGATATGTCTCACAATATCTTCTAGTTGAAGCCCTAGGATTAGCCCTAAATAGTGTAACGAATTCTAATTTTACTTTAAGTTAGATTCACTTGAGACTTGAGCTAAACATAACAATCTCTTAGTTAATTCATGTCAAGTACACAATAATTTCAATAATTTATATTTACTTAGTAAAAAATACTAGAAGAAACATAACAAAGTCAATTCCATAAACTAGAGCTAAATAAAACTAAATAGTAGTGAAAACAAGATAGAATAAAAATACAGAGTTAACTGAATATAACTACTTAGATCAATTTATGTTCTTCATGCAAAACTTGTATAGTAACAAAATCTTTATTAAAATTTTTCAAATGGATAATTTTGATCAATTCATCAACTAAATTTAATTTATCGTCAATCTTGACTAACTCAATATTTACATTATAATTAACATGTTTGATAACAGTAGACTTGATGTCAATATGTTTATTTCTGCTCTCCGTCACTTGATTTTCAACAAAATGCAATGCACTCATAGTGAAAATTCACAACCTCATGTTTCATCCTATCTTAATGATTAGCTTATTCAACGACATAACTTACTTTGCTCCCACTACATACTCAGCTTCGGTTGTAATATGAGCTACACAATTTTGCAAGGTAGATTGAGAACTAATGCATCCATTATTAAATGTAAACACATCATCTTGTAAATACACCCTAATCCAGATTTTGTATATAGTTAGGATCAACAAGCACATAACATTATCATTAGTTAACATAGTCGATATCAAACCTAGCTTAGCAAGTATTTGACATTGTTTAATAAAGTATCAAACCATCATGTTTACTACTTAGTGCAATTTTCATAATTTTTTTAATTCATAAATTTTTGGTATTAAATCACATGTGTACAATAAAAACACATGATAGAAATAATTTCATAGAATTTTTTGCAAAATTCTAAAAAATATTATGATTTCAATGATTAAACAAAAGTTTTTAGAATGAAACCTGATTTATTATGTTAAAGGCTTGTAATAACAATCATTTTAGATTGGAAAAATATGAAAAGTATAAAATTAGGTTACCTATGTAAACTAATGATCTCCTATTTACTTATGACATTAAGAAAACAAATTAGACAAAATTTATATAAAAAACAACGACATTTACAACACTGTTCAATTGTTAAAGTTTTTTGCATCAACAAGTGTTGTGTGTTTTGGTCACAATGTTCATCATTTTACATATGTTTATATATGATTGAACAATAATTTACATGCGCATACATTAAATCCATGAATGTTTACCCAATAGTGTATTCCAAACTATTTGATCTAAATAAAATTTTTGACATCAGATTAAGCATTCAATTATAAAAACTTGATCAGCTACTGAAATTAAACCAAAAATAGTTTTCTAAATTGTAATTGCAGATGTGTAATTTTTAAATCTTAACATTTCACTTTTGAACTGATGTTTATATATTCAGATTCCAAAAATGATTACGAGCAGTTTCTTTTTAACACACGAAAAATTGAAATTAGAATCTTATAATCAAAACGAAACATCTACTGACTTTTTTTTTTTCTTTCCCATTTTCACTTGTAATTGTATCATTTTGAAGCTTTGCGTGCCACACGTCCCAAGGTTTGGTTTGCAGATGTGGTGACTTGGTCTTTGAGGTGGAATGTGACGGAACTCGATTGGAATTTGCAACCTATTGCCCTACGCGAGCGTATAAAGGAGGAATTTCTCAGCATTATGTGGAGCACACGAGGCACCAAGATGCAGTTTTATCAACTTCATGTGAATCCTATGCTTGTTTATTGTGAGCAAGGATATTTACTTGCAGAGATATCTACTTCTTTACGTCATATTATTGCTAGGCATAGAACTGGATCTCATAGTCTTGGGATTGAAGAAGGGCGTTGGTTGAACATTGATAGGAGTGAACGTATTTGTAGGCTATGTGATGGAAGAAAAGTTGAGTATGAAGAGCATGTATTTCTTACTTGTTCTAGGTATGTAGAGATTCGAGTGGCGCATAAAGTTGATGTCAAGAATTTCTTTTCTCTGCTTCAACTCCAGCCTTATGTTTTAGGTTGTTATATTAGAGATATTATTAGTTACCGTTCTAGTGCTTTGGGCACTAGCTAGGGGGTTCTTTTGGTTCTCTCCTAGTTTGGAGTTGGATTATTTGTATTGTGTTTTTTAGCCTTTTGACCCTTTAGGTCCCACGGGCTTGATCTATTTACCATTTATCATTTACATGTGGAATGGCGCTGAATAACATAAAAATGGATGGGATGACGTTGTAGTATTATATCATATAATTGTATGATATATATCATTATCACGAAGCATCTTCATTAAGAATTAAATTCTAAAGCATGATTTTTTACTTTAAAAGATAAGAACCTAATTTTCACTTTTTATTACAGTTTTGTCTCTTTTCAAGATATTTTCCCAGCAAGACTTTATCTTCATTAACAGCTCATCAAATACTTGCAAGATTATCTATGAGACGTTGAGAATCTTATCCGTTAGTGGGATTAATTTACAATCACCATACACACTCTAACCGTTGAAGACTCTACACTTTATAAACATCAAAACCTTCCATTTCCTCCACAATCTATCGAACAAATTTACGTTATGAGCATGTAGAGCAACCTTAGACAACTATGATTAGCAAGCCGCTGTTTACCGACATGACATACCCTGCGTTAGGCCCTTTGAAGGATATTTTTAGTTAAAGCAAATTATATATATCCACTAGTCATGAATACTGCCGCAGGTGGGATGCCTCCTTGGACAGAGACCTTCTGCTGGATCATTTTCCATACATTCTAATTACAAAACATCTTGTTGATAATCGCTGGATTATCAACAAGGAATTTCCCCAGATATGATGCCTCGTTGGACGGGGGATCTAATGCTAGATCACTTTACTATATATGTTATATATGTCATAAGAACTTGAAAAGGTTTGTGAGCTATCGTGTGGATGTAATTTTACTTGGGGAATTGACATAGATTCGATATAGGAAGTAATCCACTCGAGAAGACAGTCCTTGTCTCCACATATTACTTGATAACCAACTCTTGAATGAGATTCTTGATGCAATTTAGAATTTGTTTCTACTGTTTGGTGCATATTTCTCTCGTCCACCATGCGACCTTGTATTGTATTACTTCCCTTCCCCTGAACGTTATTGTGTATCGTTTTTTCATAAATAGCGTTTTAAAATTCCATCGTCTCGTTTTTTACAATGCATTGTCTATGATATACGCTCCGATAGTAGGTTTCTCTTCTTAGAACGTTCTATCTCGTTTGCAGTTTGTGACGATTGTATATCTGAATCTTAATTAATTACAAGGGTTTAATAGCTTGGCCGAAACCTTTTACGATATTTATAGGTAAGCGCAGAAACCGTTAGGGATCCTGAACGATGATAAACTAAGCCGATAACATTTTGAACATCTCAAGCAAAAACTCTTATCTTACATCAATAGAGTATCATAAGAATAATCATTTCTCTTGATTTGTTTAAAAAAGAGAGAGAGTTATTGACCTGTTCAAATCATTCCTTAACAATATTTTTGGGAATCGGGACTGGGTGTTGCTCAAATCGCGACCATCCTTTTATAGGTACATCTTGAAACCCCGTATTAATACTTATACTCTGGGTACTTATGAAAGCCATGGAGGGGTTGGTTTAATGGGAAGAATTCACTTCTTCGGACAGAATGATCTCGTTGCGACCAAGAAAGTTCGATTCAGTTTTCAGATGAATGAATTGGAGTTCCTTAAATAGTTCGATTTGTTGTGTACACGTTTTGGGCGTCCAACCGGTTTCTCGATTGTTTTTACTCATGACTACTCTTCTTCATGAGTAAAAACTCATTATGAAAATAACAGGATTCTGTATGACTATGTATGTTTGTCGTCTTTCATGATGTTCGGTACCTCGACTGCACGTAATGGGAAATAAATTAGTGGTATCTGAAGTCAAAGCGGGCCTAGAGCGGAATAGAACGAAATTTTGAAATTGCGTCGCGGTTAACTCATCCAAACATTAACACAGGTAACCATTATCTCTAGATCTGAATTCTCCTGCTGTTCATCCCTCAGAGCTAGCAACATTTATCAAGTATATAAAATGAAATAAACAGGCACATTCGTATATGCAGTTCACGGAAGCAAGCAGCTCTGCAACTCCATCTCTCCATACTCTACGCCATGTTTTACGACGAGATTCAGAACAGAGAAATTGTAGATAAGACACACGACGCAGTCTATACAAGAAATACAAGAAGTATACACGCAGTCTGAAACATTCAGCCAGGGGATGATTTAAACGTGTAGGAATATCGGTGATCGGCTTTACGTACGCTCATGCCGGTGTGGTGACAAAGGTCAGTCGCCAACAACAAAATGCCGACCGATAATGCCAAGAGCGTCGCGCGCGCTCATTTCATCCCGAGTCTGATAAAATGTCCGTTCTGCTCCGCTCTGATCTGCAGAGCTCTGGAGCAAATATCCGTTCGCAAGAGTGCGGGCAGCTACACATTAAAAATGTCTATTATAGATCATCGCAGCAGCAGCAGCAGGGACGTACTGGCCTACTCTCTTACTGGAGACTTGACATACTCAACGGAAAGCGACCGCAGAGCCGAGCAGAACGCAGCACGAAGTGACCGTTGGTGGGGAGAGACGGGGGGGGGGGGGGTGGGGAGGAGTCGCGCGAGTGAGGTTCCGGGCAATAAATGGTGGTCCCTTATTCTCGCCTTTTGGCTGCGCTTGGCTTCTTCTTCTTGGCTCCTGTAGGACCCACGTCCCCCCCTCCGTCTCGTCCTTTCTGCATACTTTCGTGTCCCTTCTTTTCGCTCCCTTCCTTCCTCCCTCCCTCCCTCCCTCGCTCGCCTTGGCGCTTGGCTTGGCCCTTGTGCTGCCTTGGCACATGTGCGGGTCGGGTCCGAACGACCGAACGTCCGAGCGAGCAACGAAGCTGGCGGACGAAGGGGCTCTCTCAGGAGAGAAAAGCGAGCGAGCGAGCGATCGATTCAGTGTTGGGTTCAGTGCTTTATGTATGTATGTATGTATGGCATTTGAGTAGATGTGCGGAGTGAGCTTACCTGCTCCCACTTCCTGCTGCTGCTGCTCCTGCGGCCGCTGCTGGCTGGTGTGTGCTGAGCTAGCTCGGTAGAGAGACAGCTGCTGCTGCTCGCGAGATTGTTAAGTGGGTGTCGCAGTGTGATCTTTACTTTGAGTGTGAGGGCGAGCTCGAGCTGGTTTGGGCTGTCGAGCTGAAGCGAATTGGTGGCGAGAGAGAGAGAGAGAGAGAGAGAGCCCCTCACAGGGCGGGCAGCTCGTAGGCAACAACAGGCAGCAAGCATCAAGGAAGGCAGGAAGCAACGAAGGAAGGAAAGAAAGAAGTGAGCAAGCAAGCAAGCGAGCAGCTGTGGAGGGCGGGACGAGGCAGAGTGTCGGCGGGCAGACGGAGAGAATGATTCTTCGGCACCAGCTCGCGTGCATTGGAGTGGCAACGCTCCTCCTACTCAGTCTCGCTTCCATCCCTGGTGAGAATCGCATCATGCGCGCTCTGAAACGCCTCCCTTGGTTCGTTTGTCTCGAGATGGGTCAAGTCCTGTCATCCGCATAATAGAAAGACGATTTTCATGGCCCTGTGTTTCTCGGAATCAAGCTGCTGTGCTGGTTGTGGCACCTGAATTCTTTGGGTTTTTGTACTTTTCTCCTCGACACTTGTTACGCTCTCCCACGTCGCTTGAGCTACATACATGCAGACCTACATCCTCTCCCGTTTCTGTCACTAGTGAGCTGATTTTTCCTCTCCAGCCAGAGGCGTACGTCAGCGCCATTGACCTCCAAGTGACGACCATCATCCTCATCCAGGAGCTGAAAAAATTGCCCCCCTTTTCACTCACTGCCCATTCGCGCCTACCGTACTACCGTCCGCCATTCTCAGCGAGCTTGGTCCGTCGAGCAGAGCGTTCTGTAGTTCAAATTCAGATTGGTCCTCGTGTATTTTGACAGCAGAGTGGAAGATCTGTCTCTGCTCTTCGAGCTTAGCCCTGGCAGGATGAATTCCAGCTCCGCTACGTTTGTCGAGCCTGTTTAGATCTTCTTGACGACGGGAGCTAACATTGTGGATGAATGGTCGGCACTGAATGATTGCAGGAGTGGATGCCACCCTCGGAGTGAACTACGGGACGGTGGCGAACAATCTGCCGACTCCAGCTGACGTCGTAGCGCTGCTGAAGACGACCACCATCACGAGGGTGAAATTGTACAATGCGGATCCGGCGATCATCAGCGCCTTCTCCGGCTCGGGGATCTCGCTGGTCGTGGGCGTGAGCAACGACCAAATTTACTCCCTGGGCCGCTCTCCATCCTTCGCGCAACAATGGGTGACTGCCAACGTCGCCTCGTACGTGCCAGCGACGAACATCATCGCCATCGCCGTCGGAAACGAGGTGCTGACGGCGTCCCCGAACCTACAATCCAGTCTCGTACCTGCCATGCAAAATTTGCACACAGGGCTCGTCAATTTGGGGCTGGCGGACCGAATCAAAGTCTCCACGCCGCATTCCTTCGGAGTCATCACGAAATCGTACCCGCCGAACATGGGGCTCTTCCGAGCGGACTTGTCAGCCGATGTGTTCACTCCAATGTTGGACTTTCTGGCGCAAACCGGAGCGCCATTCATGATCAATGCGTACCCGTACTTCGCGTACCGAGACGATTCGAAGCTCTCGATCGCGTACGCGCTGTTCGAGCCCAACACGGGAGTCACGGATCCGGCCACGGGGCTGCACTACGACAATCTGTTCGACGCGCAAGTCGACGCCGTGTACGCCGCCATGGGAAGACTGGGGCACCAGGACATCAAGGTCGTGGTGTCGGAAACCGGATGGCCCTCGTTCGGCGATGCTGGCGAATCGGGCGTCGGGGTCACCAACGCTCAGACCTACAACGGCAACCTCATCAAGCATCTGGCGCAGGTAACGGGCACTCCTGCCCGACCCAACGCGGCCGTCGAGACTTACATCTTCTCGCTGTTCAATGAGAATCTGAAGCCCGGGCCTGCATCAGAGAGGAACTTCGGATTGTTTCTCCCCGACAGGAACACTGTCTACAATGTGGGAATCCAGACAGGACCCTCGCCTCCCATGAACTCGGCTCCGCCCCCTCCGCCGGGAAATTCGACCTCACCGCCTCCCTCGACCCCTGCTCCTGCTTCTCCTCCTCCTCCTCCTCCTCCTACCGCAGCGTCGCCCCCCCCAGCGTCGAACGGAACGGCTCCGCGTCCCCCTCCCCCTCCGACGACCTCTCCTCCCCCGAACCCAGCGCCTGCTCATCCCCCTCCGCCCCCGACCACCACCCCGACCCCCCCGACGGCATCGCCGCCGCCGCCACCACCGGTCGTCCCGACCCCTCCCACTCCTCCTCCTCCGTTCTCGATCCCTCCGCCTCCCCCGTTCACACCGCCGCCTTCTCCCCCTCCTCCCAAGGCCCCTGCTCCATCGACACCTCCGTTCAATCCGAGCCCTCCTTCTCCGCCGATGGTGATGCCGCCGCCTCCTCCCGCAGGAATTCTGCCTCCCGTCGTGCCGAGCCCCAGCCCGCCGATGGCATCGCCTGCTCCTCCCACCACGCCGGGAGTAACTCCGCCGCCGTCCGGGAAGGATACGTGGTGCGTCGCCAAGCCGGGATCTTCTCAGGTCGATCTGCAGAATGCGCTGAATTTCGCCTGTGGAGAAGGGGGAGCTGACTGCTCGGCCATTCAAGACAGCGGTCCCTGCTTCTTGCCCAATTCTTTGTTCTCTCATGCTTCGTTCGCTTTCAACAGCTACTACAGCAAGTCCGGCCGCAATTACTGGAACTGCTTCTTCGGCAATTCTTCGTTGATAACCATCACCAACCCAAGTAAGTACTCTCCTCCTGCTCAGCACTCGCTCGCATCGTCAAATGGCCAACTGTGGATACTAATGCTTGAATTTTGTTAGTATCGATCGCCTGGCGAATTTCTCTCAATTTGGAAGCCAACCCCATCCACCTGTGATGATGTTCGTCTGGAACGGACGGGAATTCAGTATGTGTGGGAGAGTCACTTGCCATATTGATACAGCGCTTGTTGTGATGATGAAATGAACTGCTTTGTGCTAATCCAGTGGACACATTGGTCTTTGTGTGTGCAGGTTACAGCACTTGCCTCTACCCTTGAGCGATTGGAATTGAGAAATGGGAAGGCCCAACATTTTGCGTCTCCTACACCGTTGGACTTTTCATCTGTACTCACTCGGACTGGAGCCTTCACAGGCGCTTTAGGCTCAATGTAATAGTAATAAGTACTTTAGAGTCTTAGGAACGTCGGAAGTGGAAAGTAAATAGTGTCACCGTGAGCAAGCGAAGAGATGGGCACCTTGTGAGCTTTCTTCGCCCACCTTCCCGAAGTAGAATGTGCAGAGAGTGTTATTCTTGCTTACCTTCAATATACATTTTTTTCCCCTGATATGAAGTGAGATTCCCCACACGAAAGTCGTGAAGACAGTCTGAAACTTGGTTACATCGGTGCTTCGCACTTCCGTTCAGTCCGTTCTCAAGTGTTAGTCAGTCTGAGCTGGAGGAATCTCGCGGACTAATCAGGCCCAGGCTAAAATCAGCGAGATCTGACTCCAAATTATTCAACAACGATCTCAAATTATGCACAGATCTCGTCAGCTCCTGCTTCAACTAGTAAAAGTCGGACTCTGTGCAATGATTGCCATCCATCGGGAAAGCGACTACAATAGGCACCATATTTGCAATCATAGGACTGTGCTTTGGAGAGTGATTTTACCTTCTGGTCAAGAAGAAAGGTGTGAGGAAATGATGGCAAGGTATATGCAAAAGTGAACGTATATGCAAAGAGATGAACGTAGTCTTGGGTTTTCCACCGCTCAAATGAACATGTTAAGTGTCGACAGTGACGACGTACCCAATAATGGTAGGTACGGCATACGACTCAGAGAGGTCGTCCTGTAACGAAGATATCAGCAAAGCTGAGAGCCAGTACACCACATTCCATCTGACTACACTGACTCTGTGTGCCCTACCCTTTGCATTCAAAATTGACCAGATGTTGTGCCAGTTGAGACTCTCTGACAGATGTGACCGACTGCCACCCATCTACAGCTGCAGCGTTCCAATTTCGTCAGACATTTCGTCAAACTCGCAAGGAGTCAGGAGAATCAAACGTCTTTATCTGACTAGTTTTGAAAATGCTCACCACTCGACAATTTGCATTCTTCGTCATCAGCTTCCGACTTATAAAAGAGTACACGGTGAATGGGATACCTCGACTCGCCTGTACCGGGTTTTTTTTTAGAGAGCTCGTCTTCATTCTGTTAGACCATACTGTACAGTGTTGTGTAACAGAATCGAGAAGGGAGAACTCCTTCCCGCCATCGCCATCGAGAGGCATTTTTACTGCAGTATGCTTAGAATTTTACTGTTCCTCAGCAGGGCCACGAAGGTGAAGGACTTACGTACTCTGTGGTTTCTACGTTGTCAAAATTCAACTTCACCCTTTCTGCACGAGGTTGGGCTTTCTCTGTCCTTGTGTTGCTGATGGTGTTGCTGATGGTAACACGATAGCAGCTGATTTTGACAATCGACCAGAGTTGAATTATTCTTTACTTCGTTCAGCGTCTGGGAGCCAAAGTGTGTATCGTTTATTAGATTCGCCATCATCGAGTTTCGAAAGCTACCCGGAATTTTCAGAGCCTTATAATTCACATCGTTGCAATAGACAAACGAGCTGCATGTTATCGTAGTCCGGTAATGGGCCTCATCTGCTGATGCTGCTTTTGGCTCAAGGATGACGAGGAAACTGACGATCTGGTCTACACACTTTTAGACGCTTTCGTTCATGTCATTGATGGCCTATGAAACTCAATTGGAGTAGTGTACTTGTCTGCAAAGAGTCCCATTTTTGATAGAAGAGATAAGATAGGAAAGTATATGGATGCACCTTTCCGGTAATTACCCAAACCTACATATTTCATCCCAATCCAATACATGTATTCGGTACTGCTTCCTGCAGTGATTTTTAGCGGCTTCAAATAAGTCCCATACAATTATGGATTTGAGCGTAAATGGATTGCCCCATTAAACCCGGTCCCCGTTCCCATAAGTTATATATTTTGAGTCTACACAATACACGAATTCCAGGGAACAGGTGAATATATTCCAGGAAAACATATTTTCTTTAGAGAGAAACTAGTTATCAATCAGTTTGGACTAATTATTCTTCACCTTAGTGAACAGAGCTCTGCGATTGGTCAGAGCTATCCTTATGTTTACTACAGCTCCTTGATATAATCTTAGTTGTGAAACCCTCATTTGCCTAAGTGATACAAACATCTCACACAAAGTAGGATAAAAAATTATCAGTCGAATACTGTCTACGTCAACAACATTTCCTCTTTGTTACCGATGCATGAACTACTACGTTCTGTTTTGCTAGATGTCATAGTCTCGGGAGGAAATCAGAAATCAGTGGACAAAACAGACACTCCTTCCCAACAAGTTGTCAACAATATACCATACTACAACTTTTCTGTGGGCTAATCTTCCGATGTGGTGTACAGTTACCTGCTCACTATTTTCATTACACTTACGACACTTTCACATTCCTTCTCAACTTTATCAATCTACGAATCTGATGCACTTGAACTTAACATGAGACCTCTGGTCCATCAAGCTCGGAACATCAGAACTTTAAATAAGATCATATTTGTTTGGCTTATGTGGAGCTCAAACCCTTTCTGCATGGAAAGTTTGATTGGAGCTCTAATGGAAGGGTCCAAAGACCCACCTCTGAATACAAATTTTAGCTTGGACTCTCTACTTTTTATGATCCGACGCTCTATCAATTTCCTTGTAGGGAAGCTTTTTTGTCTCTCCTCGTCCGTCTCCCTTCATTATTTTTTTGTACTTGCACTTGTAGGTGGCAACTAGTGCAGCTTGAACACTCCACAGATTGTACGTTTGAATTAGGAATGCCTACTTGTCGGACCAATTGTTTAGTATAGAATTGACGTAGAATTGTAGTTTCAAAGGAGCGCACGAGGTCTCTTGAAAGAAACAATCATAACATTCTAGATCTGTGACCTGCTTTAAATCTCATTCTATGTACGAGTATATCAATGTCATCATTCTAGTGCAATTGAAATATATGTCCATAGTTAAAACCTTCAATGGCGCACAGGTCACTAAAATTTGACAATATAACTCGCCCTGAGTCTTTTCATGATAAATAGATCAGATTGAGTGATAATACGAAATCAAAGAGGAGTGCTTTAAGCTTTCAATTGATATACAAGATTAAGCTGTCCAAGAATATCCTCATCCAGTGAGATCTTGTAAGGTACACGAAGCTACTATTTCTGTTCCTTATAAAGAAACTTTCTGCTTAGTAAACATACACAAGGTCAGAGAATGCTTTTTATATTGGCAAAGGTGGAGATTCTTTCAAAAAGCAAATATTTAAATATAAGAATCTAAAATTTTGATCTGATTCCAAAGCAGTGACTTGAGTAGCTAGATGGCTGCTAGAGCTCGAGTTTCCTTGTAACCATGGATTTCCTAGCTCATGATGTTGATGTAGGCAAAGAAGTTTCAATGCAATGTTAAACAACGAGGAAGATAAAGGTAAAAGCGTGCCAGTTGAACTCGCTGACAAACACTCGATCAAAGCTAAAAAATCTGTAAACACACATGATGGTGTACATATAAAATAAATAATTTCACTAACATGCGCGATGAAATAAGATGGGCATAAGTTAGTCCTCCACGTATTCTGTATGATGCACAGTTTCAATCAGATGATTACATGTCAAGGAAACATCCACAATTAGAATTATAATTCATTAAGAACTATGATGTTTAACTCCTTGGACTATGCGGACGAATGGGATACCGTATTGTCTTCGTTTCTTGAGATTTGAAGTCATCAACTTCAAGCCATTCATCCACATTAATAGCTAGGAGTTTGATGTAAAAACTAGAACCATTGCAAGTCTTCAATGCATAATCTAACATAAACTCCCCATTGTTCACATGTTGTATTTATCGGAATACATGTTCCCAGGATAAGCAAATGATTATTTGAATGTTTTACATACTCTTCCAAAGGGAAAGATGTGGCATTTCATCATAGCAGCCAAGAAATCAATGATCCTTGGCATTTAATACAGAGCATTTATTTCAAGAATAAACCAAAGAGAGCCGCGGTTAACAAGCATAGTTGTCCACCTAAATGTATACTGTGAGTAAATATTACTATCTCTAGTTATCAAAATATGTTTCTTCATCCTATACAAATATTATACAACAGTGGTATGACAAAAGAAGAGATAAAAGTAGAGGACTTTCCAATACTCTGCTTTCATATGTGTTCTTACATTTTGAAAAAGTGGAAAGTTTTGATTTAATGTCATCGGCTTTGGCCAAATCCCTTGTGTAGAGATTTGAATCGGATCAAAGGTAAAAAGCTATGAAAGAAATTTGAGTAAGATTATTATTCTGCATGAGATCTTTTCGAGTATTTCCTCGGCAGCGATTCAAAAGTTGCTAATTTGGTAAGAAAGCAAGAATAACACAACTTCCAATCTTAAGAAAATATCTTCTTCATTGATATATATGAAATATGCGATGGCTTTCATGTTAGTTAGTTATGGATCATATATCGAAATTAAAGTATCTGCAGGGTTGATACGAAATTCTACGTACATATGTGTACCCCATCTTGTACTTTGCAATATTTTACCACTACAAGTTTTTTACTCTTTGGTGAAGCTCTTTGGTTTTGCAGCTCGGAGTAGGTGTATAAATACATTTCTTTGCATATGTGACAAGCAGATCTTGAAGTGGGACCAGTGAGCCCACTCTTATCCCTGGCAGAATTAGATCCTATTCTCCTTTGAAATTGAAGGTGTTGTATTTTAAGCTGAAATACGAAAGAAGGGAGTTGTTGTGATGTTGATTACAACTCACAACTACACAAATCCAACTCAAGTAGACTACAAAAATCGTATCATGAAGGGAGCAACTAGATCCGATAGAGAATGACTTATTGTTTGTGTGCTATGACCTCATGCTTAGAGGAGAAAGCAACTACAGCCAGAAATTCCAAAGAAATAGTGGGATGTCTACATGCTCCTCATCTGCTCCATCGGTTGGTTACGTCTTGGGAGTGACGATTTATCATGTGATGTGGGACATAGTTAAGCGAAACTAAAGCTGTCTCCCTACCTGCCTGCCTGCCTGCAGGCATTGCCCTGCATTTGCCTTACCTCCCCTTGCCGCAAATTGCCATGCCCTGTACTGTAGTACACTTTCAGCTTTACAAATTCAGAATGCATATGGGCACCACCGAGAGCCAGTCCTCTTTGTCATAGCCTCATGTGAGAAAGAATGAAGAGACCATAGCTATGGCTCTCTGCATAGGTAGTAAGTACATGGCGAGCTAGGCTGCAAAAGTTGCCTTCAAAGCGAGAGAACTCTCTCGGAGCTCAAAGTCAGAGTAATACTTTTCCAAAGCATCGTCTCGATGCGGTCCGCCTGGGGGAAAGATGACTCGTCCATTGGGTCCGTGAACACATGCAGCAAGTTTCAAGAGCTACGGGCACTGACGGCCACAACCCTACGCTATACACTGAATGAGTGTATATTGGAGCTGCTGAAGATTGGGTTGGTTCTAAAAAGGTCCTTTGGCTTTCAAGCTTTTGAGCTCCAAGCACCAGCTCTCCGTCACTGAATTCTTCTGTATGTCTGTCAATGAATCCGTTCCGTGTTATCTACACTCATGAACACTAAAACGTTATTCCTAAGTTTGACTTTGGTACCTGTACTTTGGTAGCCTGTACAAAAGCCACCGACCTTGGTATAGTCTGTATGTGAAACTTATGCTATCATACCAATTCGAGTGCGTCTGAGGAAGACGGTAAGAAGCAATTATTTCTGCACATGATGCCACATCTGGATTGCAAACAATTTTGCATGTGTTTTGCAAATTTTTTTTT